GTGGAAAAAAAAGTGTAGACAACCCAAGAAGAGTCAGATTTATTTCTCAATAACAAAAATAAAAGAAAATATATGCTTACTAGTGATCTTGACCTGTAGCCATCCTGGAACACAGTGTATTCCTCATGATTATAGTTTATGTTAGCTGCTAGACAACTGACCAGTTAAGGAATGGTGTAACTTGTGAGCTCACTTCCTATGTTAATACCCCTAATTAAGCTAATGGCAAGATTAAGTGGAACGTATACTTTGGGGAAAAAACAATAATAAATGTAATTTGCTAAAATTTACTCTTGACAGGTTTCCAGCATTTGGATCAGTATTAGAAAAGTGTAAATATCTCCCTACCTAGAAGTATATATCTAGATATGTGGGAAAGAGATGTATAAAAATATTTACTGAACAGATACTCTGCGTCTTGGGAGATTAAGAAATTGAAACGAGGTTGCATACAGTGATATTTAAATCACAGATAATGAAAAGCCAAATGCCTTCTTTTTGTATTATTGTGGATTTATAAAAGGGTTGATAAAGGGTTGTATAAGGTAATAGAGGCAGCACTAAATAAAATGAATAAGGCGGTACATTTATTAAAGAGGGAACCTATCCAAATCACAATTGTTGTCCTACAAAATAGATTGCCTCTCATTTATATGCTCGTGGTGAAAGGGGGAATTGACTACCAGTGTTACTTTCTGATAAATATCTTAGAAAATGTAGAGAATCAATTTAATAGTATTTATAGTTTCAAGGTAATTTAAAAAAAAATTCTTTATTTTCATTTATTTTTATACAATAAAAATAACCAAATTTAAACATGTTTCGATAAACATAGGAGCTAAGACATTAAGAAGAAGTGAACACTCTCTCGGTCAGCACTGAAATATTTCTCAATTAGCAGTTCAACTTCTAGGTAAATCATTAGGCAGCAGTTCCATAAGCAAATGAAAAAGTAACAATTGTAATATACTTGAGAAAGTGATTATTGTCCAGAGCAATGACAGGAAGTGTACAGTTAGAAAGGGGTAACTCACCATTTGGAGTGAATGTAGAAGAAAAATAGTAAGTCGAGCCAATTTGGCTTAAACCCTGAGGTATGTAGATACTGTTTGTTGCAAATCTTTTTTTTTATTTCATTTTGGGGTGGGAGGGTAGTGAGTGTCGAGAGGGGTGGGGTAGGAGTGACAACGGGGGAAGTTTGGGACTTAGAACTAGGACAAGGTAAGGATAAGTGTGTAAAGAGGTCTACTGATAAGGGAAATAGAGAGTTAAGCATTCCCTGATGCATGTTCCTTAGGGACAGGATATGAGAGGAAGAACGAGGGGGGGAGAGAGGGGGAAATGGATGTGTTATGTGAAACTGGAGAAAGTGAGATATTGCACACACTAATTAGGTTATTCAAACAAGATGTAGGGGCATCTCCATTTAGCCAAGGGTCACAATTTCTTTGAAAGGTAGTGTGCTGTGAGTCTGTCAACTATATTGCCTGATTTATTAAGTGTTCTTGCATAGCAAGACCACTTAATGTTATCTCACATATATATTATTATTATTATTATTATTATTATTATTATTATTAAGTGTTCTTGCATGACAAGACCACTTAATGGTATCTCACATATATATTATTCTTATTCTTATTATAGCCAAATTTACCACCCTAACTCATCCCACAGTTTTTACACTACATGGACAGTAATATACAGAAACGTGTGGATTGTTCCCGATTGGATTGCTATTACTTTGTGGAACGTTTCGCCAAATGGTTCATGGAATATTGTCGTTCTTGTGGCGAAATTGGTCCCATAGGAATGAATGGCAAAATGTTCAAAACTAAAATGGAAGCTGGCAAAAGCTGAAAAATCAGGACATGATTTCTAAACTGCCACCACTCCCTCATTTACAAGCCCACCTACACTACATCAAAACATTCAGCTATCCCTGCTGCCACTAAAAATGTCCACGGCTAGGCCATAGTCCTGATAGTTTTAATATGACCATTTGTTTGCAACTCACGCCGTCCATTGACATTCATTGAAACTCCACTCTAGACAGCTCAAATTTGAAGGGCAATTTCTAAACTGTGACTGTGCCTTCATTTTTAATATTTCAGAGACATACTATGCATGTCATCATGTAGGTCTAGGTCTTGTGATTCTCACAATATAAAGCTATTTGCTGTAGGATTTATAGTTTTTAAAATACGACTGTTTGAAGATGGCAACCGCCAGTAAAGTGTGCAATTTGGAGCAGTTTCTTTCTAGCTGCTTTTTCTCTGCCCTATTTGAAATCTATTAGTTCCTGTTGGCAGTTGGAGGAATGTTCGAGGAATTTGAAACCCTGTGTAACAAGGCTGCAATATGAAGATGCTGTTATATATGTATTAATAAACTGAGTACTTCATTATACAGGAATTATTGGCAGATTTATACAGAACATCACAGTGGCAGCAGGGATAGCTGAATGTTTTGATATAAATTGGTAAATTTATATCCCTACATGGCAAGACCACTTACTATTATCTCACATATATATTATTATTCTTATTGAACAATTTGGAGCAGTTTGTTTTTAACCGCTCTTCTCTGCCCTATTTGGAATTTATTAGTTCCTGTTGGCAGTTGGTGGAATGTTCGAGGGATTTGAAAGATTTGAAAGGTCTTCTCTGCCCTTGCTGTAGAGTGAGTGAACCACACTCCAACCTTTCCACAGTTACTTCAGCCACTCCAACCACACAACAGTTACTCAAGCCACTCCACCCAGTTACTCCGTCCACTCCAGTTGTAGACTGTTGGTGGAGGCAAGAACACTTCACACAATTTCCCCAGATATTGTAGCTTTTCTAGTTTCTCATGTAATCGTAATTATGCTAAGTATAATCTAAGATCCAGCAGTACCAGCACTTTACTTCGTATGCCACATTACAGAAAGAAAGTTGTTCGATTTACATTTTCCTACAGAGCACCGCAAGCATGGAACAATCTCTGGGAAACAATTTAATCTTCCTCCACACTAAAATCATCTAAGAGATCCCTGTCAACATATCTCAGTACAGAATGCACAGTAATCATGGTTGATTATATTTAGTACTTAGTTCTGTGTTAAAGGCCCACTATAGTGCCAGGAAAACAAGTATGTTTTCCTGGCACTATAGTGCCCTGAGGGTGCCCCCACCCTCAGGGTCCCCCTCCCGACCGGCTCTGGGGAGAGGAAGGGGTTAAAACTTACCTTTTTTCCAGCGCCGGGAGGGGAACTCTCCGCCTCCGATCCTCCTCTTCTCCTCCCTTTTGGCTGAATGCGCACACGCGGCAAGAGCTGCGCGCGCATTCAGCCGGTCTCATAGGAAAGCATTCATAATGCTTTCCTATGGACGCTTGCGTGTTCTCACTGTGATTTTCACAGTGAGAATCACGCAAGCGCCTCTAGCGGCTGTCAATGAGACAGCTACTAGAGGATTTGGAGGCTGGATTAACCCTAACATAAACATAGCAGTTTCTCTGAAACTGCTATGTTTATTAAAAAAAGGGGTTAATCCTAGCTGGACCTGGCACCCAGACCACTTCATTAAGCTGAAGTGGTCTGGGTGCCTAGAGTGGTCCTTTAAATGTATATATGTATTTAAATATTACTGTGTATTTTTAATATTATACTTTGTATTTTAATATCAATTTGTATTTTTAAAGGAGCACTATAGGGTCAGGAAAACAAACGTGTATTCCTGAACCTGTTGTGTTAAAAACACCATTAAGTCGGTTTAACCCCCTTTAACCCCCTAAATGGTAATAAAACTCCTGACCGGCTCTGGGGAGAGGAAGGGGTTAAAACTTACCTTTTTTCCAGCGCCGGGAGGGGAACTCTCTGCCTCCGATCCTCCTCTTCTCCTCCCTTTTGGCTGAATGCGCACGTGCGGCAAGAGCTGCGCGCGCATTCAGCCGGTCTCATAGGGAAGCATTCATAATGCTTTCCTATGGACGCTTGCGTGTTCTCACTGTGATTTTCACAGTGAGAATCACGCAAGCGCCTCTAGCGGCTGTCAATGAGATAGCTACTAGAGGATTTGGAGGCTGGATTAACCCTAACATAAACATAGCAGTTTCTCTGAAACTGCTATGTTTATTAAAAAAAGGGGTTAATCCTAGCTGGACCTGGCACCCAGACCACTTCATTAAGCTGAAGTGGTCTGGGTGCCTAGAGTGGTCCTTTAAATGTATATATGTATTTAAATATTACTGTGTATTTTTAATATTATACTTTGTATTTTAATATCAATTTGTATTTTTAAAGGAGCACTATAGGGTCAGGAAAACAAACGTGTATTCCTGAACCTGTTGTGTTAAAAATACCATTAAGTCGGTTTAACCCCCCTTAACCCCCTAAATGGTAATAAAACTTACCTTATTTGCTTTGGGCTAATCTGTAAGGTGTCAGCAAAATAGCATTATATAAGTCTTTTTCTTATGTGTTATACATATGTAGTCAAATGTTTTAAAGGGGGGGATAATAGGGTATATCTGAATATTCAATCACTTTGTTATTAATATGCAGATGCCTTAGTTATTTCTCTATTCTCAAAAAGGACAAATTGTTTTGGTGTAAAGCCAGGTGAAAACAGTTTGTTTTTAGTAAATAAGTCTGTGTAAACAAAGTTAATGGTTCTTGTTCTAAATCACATATTAGTTATAAAAAATTGTTATTTGTAAGTCACCGAAAATTTCTTATGGCTACACCCCTACTCACACCCCTAAATTTAAAGTGTCCCTCTGCCTATTGAAATTCAAAAAATTAAAACGAACTCAGTCTATTACAAAAACAGTTTATTTGGTCTGACCATTGTTCAAACGTCGTTTCCATGACATTTAGAATGTTTAGCTTAACTGCCATTATTGCCTGTGAGCTTAACTCATTATATCTGATTACTGCATTAGCAAGCATATCAGAGTTAAAGAAGGTGAAGAAACTAAAAAGCCTCTCAGGTTGATTTTGGAGGGAGATAAGGAAAATGGGTGAGAAAGAGGAGAAAGAGAAGGTGAGAGCTGAGATCCCAGGGAAAAGATCTGAGCTTTGTTTCACTGAACGCAAGCAGCAGTTTCTGACAGAGGCAAAGCGAGAAAAGGAGAAATCTCAATGGAAGGTCAAGCAATGCCAGTGGAAACTTGGGAACTTCTACCACATTTCATCTTTTGCAGTGGAGCAGCTATATGAACAAGCTTGTCACCAGCAAGGCCTGTCACTCTGGCCGCCTCTTCAAGCTGTATATAGTCTTTACAAAGAAAGTGTAACTGCCCATCAGAAGTGTTGTGAGTTAGGAGTTCAGTTTGGATACCATCAACGAAATAAAGAACTGTTGGCCTGGGTGAGTCAGTGCCAAGAAACGATTCGGAGAGAGGATTTAATAAGTGTTTTATGTGGAAAATTACCACCTGCAGGGAACTCAAATACTGCTCCACATATGATTGTTGGCTCTTCTGTACCAGGAACTCTCAGTGGTTCAAGTGCTGTACTGCCAGATAGTGTCAACCCAAGTACCTCAGGATCAGGCAGCACATCCAATACTAGCCATTGGACAAATATGAAAAATGGACGCTATGGTGGAACTTTAAAGACTTCACCATCAGAAGAAAAGGTTCCCCATGTGGGCAATGGTAAAGCTAGAAAACGCACCTTAGAACAGTCCAGCTATCCGATTCCAACTGGAAAACGCACGCGATCTGCCAATTACAAAGGATCTAAATGCCATGCTACTTAAATGATGCACTTGATGTTCAACGCTGTGATAGCCATCTTAACCTGTACTGTTAAAACAGTAATGATTGTTATAAAATGTTATTTATTTATCACAAAATATATTAAATTAAGTTAAACTATTTTAAATAATAAATCTTCTGCTGTGTATTTTGTGAAAGGGTAAATGATTTATTTTTATATAAGAGTTTAATGTTTTATACTGTGGATATAATATAAGAAACACATTTTATATCTTAATGTTCCTCACTGTGTTGGATGCATTATGCATTATTGCACTTACACTATGCAAGTGGTGAGACATTTGTGCTTTAGTATTCTAAATGTCTGAAAAGGATGAAATGTACGTCCAATTCATTAACACAAGTGCCCTACCCTTGCTTTTGTTTCACTATTAGAAATAGTAGTGTCAAAAAGTCCGATTCGGAATACAGCAACAGTGTAACGTAACAGGAGCTACTATACTTACTTATGAAAGATAATATGGGGCATTGGAATTTTGTTGTTTTCACTGCAATGTTTTAAATGAAACTAGTGAAGGAGCCCAGATTCCCAAAAACAGCTTATACCATACAAACCAAATTCCCTTCTTATAAAAGAGGTGATTTTTCTCTTAAAATGAGGGGTCTGTTGCTACTCACATGCCTGTCTAGGTAAAAGGTGATTATGATCCTCACATTGGCATTCTGTAAAGCAGGATGCTGGTGACTTGGGTAAGAGGAGATTGGCTACAGACCTGAATTGTGTCACTGGCACCATCAAAAAGCAACTAGCCAAAGATTAATCAGGTCATTATGGTGTGAATGCATGCCAGGCTGCCTGAATATCACAGAGGCCAGCCAACTGAGGGCAGACCATACATGCAGAGCTTTTTTCAGCACTCTCTGCATGTTTCTAGTGCCCCAAATCTCAGCTGCATTTTGTTGCTTATAAGAAGATCCCTTTCTGCAGTGTCATCTGGGTCTCTCACAGATGGTCTGATGGGGCAGATGCTCATGCCGTGCACACATCCAAATGCTTTCCTGTGAGTTGCAATGTCATGTGACCTTGTTTTACATGGCTGTTGCTCAGGAAGACAGCCGATAGACATATATTTTTACCCTGCAATGGACACACTACAGTTCCTCCAAACCTGCATTGTTTTACATTGCAAGGTTAAAACAAAATCGGAGCACTGCACTCACACCACTTCATTGAGATGAAATGGTCTGGGTAACTCTAACTGTCCTTTAAGGCCTTGGAACAAATTACATTTCTAAAGAGAAAGAATTGTATCACACATACAGGGCCGGCCTTAGGTCTTTAGTCACCTTGTGCAGAAAACGTAGAACAAAAGCTTTAATCAAGCCTTAATTAGAGGGTGAACAATCTAGTGGTAGTAGGAGAAAATGGGGGGTAACCTCTAATATATATATCTGAAACTGCAAAAGAATTGGAAATAAAACAAAAATAAAAAATATGTAGTTACAAAAAACTACCAGTAGGTGTCACCAGAGGATAGGGAAAAAAAATATATCGAAATTGAGTCTTTCTATGTCTATTAATAAAACTTAACTTTACAGATCTTCACGATACATGGATGAGCAGGTGTGACCCCTCCCTGGTCACACCTGCTCATCCATGTATAGTGTGCGTATATATGGGGTGCAGTGTTTGCATACAGGCTTTATTAAATTAATAATTATTAAAAACAAATATTCATTCTCCCTTCCCTTTTACCTTGCAGGGAAGGTGGCATGCTGATTTCTGATGGTCCAGTGTGCTGGAAACCTGGTCTGCGTTTCAGTGTGTGATATAAGTGTATTGACTGTGTGTGATATATGTGTGTAGGGGACGCATTTCATCCATTGAACCTTGTAATAGGGGAATCATCTAACCAACTGGTTCCTCATGCTTAAAACATAGCCCTCCATTTTGGTGAGCTAACTAACAAAGGAAACAAATATTAAGGCTAATACGTGGCTCCATGATAAACCAGCATAGGATAAAGAGGCTCTGTGTTCTATGAACAAAAATATTTGCTAAGAAGTACTGCTAACTGCTGCTTCCTAGTTATGGTTAATTGTAAACTGTGTGACTGTCTGAGTGCAAAAACAAGGAACACAGGCGACACTCCAAGGTCCAAGGATGGTTTTCTTTATTGTTGGGTAATATTCCTCAAATAAAAATGCAACGTTTTGGCTATATAGCGTTAATCATGCATAGTGAATACAAACATGGGTATATAAACCCAGTCTATGACGATGAAATTGAGGGGACAGGATACTGGATCAGTAAAAAATATATCTATTTATTTCATATGATTTAAAAGGAATATGAGGACATGGATAAAATAAATATATAAATATAAGCAGTGTATTAAAGTAAAAATCACTGCCAGAAATCTATATAAGTCCAAATTCCAAGGTGCAGTAGACAGCTTTCGCTTTCCGCAGTGCTTGTCCATAGCTCTGCTCATTCTTTTTATATATCCTGTCCTGGTTTCATTCAAATCTTCCAGCTTGCATTCATTTTGCCGATAGGACGTAATTTCCGGTATGACATCACTACGTTGCGTGTAGTATTTCGCCGCTATCTCCTTTGCTCTATGGCACATATCTCCATTATAACTAAGGCAAAAATGTCCTTATACGAGGCATATATCAAATACATATGACAAAGGAGGAAAAATATCGGCATATTAAAAAATCAACATCATATAATAGAAAACCATCTCAAGTATATTGTGTATTTTAAAAAAAAAAAAATCTTACATTATGAAAAAGAAAATCCTACAATATAAAACAAAGACTAATAGGAAGATGGTGTCTCAGTATCAAAATGGAGTTATATACTAAAAAGACCATAATACATATATGATATGGATAAATACCTACATGTATAACATAAAAATACATAGAAAATACATAAAAAAATGCATAAAAAATTAATACATTAAAAGGAGAAAAAGAAGTTCATATGATGGGGGAGGATAGGAATACTGTACTGGATAAAAAATTAAAGAAAATAAATAAACTCAAAATCTATATTAAGTCCCCTAGGGGACAGAGTATCCAGGTTGAAAATCCATCGACTTTCAATTTTGTTAAGTTCCTTAAAATTGTCCTCCCCCCTCCAATTGACATTCTTTTTTTAAAAAAGGCCATAAAACCCAAGAGAGAGGGGTCACTATAGTGTTTCTCTAAAAAATGTGCTGACACACTATGTTTTGTGTATCCCCTATATGTTATATATAAGTTGCATGTTTCCCATGTATTCTAGTATGGTTCAGGTTTTTAAACTCCTGGTGGTCATTCCCACATACTAGAGGTGCAAGGACACCAGAGAACGTACACCACATTCTTAGAATGACAGGTTAAGGTGCTTTAATATTAAAAGTTTCGCCTGTTGCATATGATTTAAAAATTGTTAAAGTGTCCTTCTTACTACTAGTTTTTGAATACAGCTTTGTATTCCTGGCACTTATAGTATCCCTTTAAGAGCAGCAGAAGCACATTACTCCTATACTTATATTATCCCATTCTCTATAATTTTTAATTACCTGATGAGAATTGTTTAGTTAATCTCTCAACATATACTGCTCCCTGTGGCCTATCCTGTCCCATCCACTGAAGAAGTAACTGACATGCAAGCACTGCAGGGGCCTCACTGCTACTTCCTGCTGCTGGGTGAATTCAGCAGGAACAGGAAGAAGGAGGTGAAAGGCTGCTCACTGTTGTAAACCCCCCTCTCCCCTCCCTCCCTCCCTCCCACCCACCCAATAAAGGGCCCAATGGTGGGAATTCTCTTATCTAGCCTGGGGGGGCATAGTGTCCCCCTTGGCCCCCAACCACAAGCGGCGCATGGGGGCCCTAAATGAAAATGGGGGGGGACCTATTGTTCTCCCTCCCGGCCCACACCCCTGAGCAGCGGGTGGGGGCCCTAAATGTAAATGAGGGGGACCTATTGTCCTCCCCCTGGCCTCCACCCCTGAGCTAAAGGTAGGGGCTAAATGTCAGAATATTCCTTCTTCACCCAGCGAGAGCTCGCCACAGATTGCACTCCGCAGGGCTGGGAAAGGCTTATAAAGCTTTCCCAGGCCCTGCAATTAGGCTCAGAGCACTCTGGTTGGTTTACCTGTCACAGAACTCTGGTTGGCTTGGAATCCAATCAATCAGAATGCTCAGAGTCATTTTACACAGCTTTGGAAAGTACTTTGGAATTTTCTCATGCTATGTAATTTGACTCATAACACTCTGATTGGTTGCTTTCAAACCCCTTTCAACCAATCAGAGGGTAGGGGGTAGGACAATAGTTCTCCCCCCCCCCCCATTTTCATTTAGGGCCCCTACCCGTCAGGTTTCCCCCCCCCCATTTTCAATTAGGGCCTCCACCCACTGCTCATGGGGGGGGCAGGGAGGGGAGGACAATAGGTCCCCCCCATTTTCATTTAGGGCCCCATGGTGGAACTGTGAGACATCGCTAAATACAAATATGTGTATGTAATCACAGTAAAAGCTAACATCATCATTATGGCATTCACAGTTAAAGGACCACTCTAGGCACCCAGACCACTTCAGCTTAATGAAGTGGCCTGGGTGCCAGGTCTAGCTAGGGTTAACCCATTTTTTAATAAACATAGCAGTTTCAGAGAAACTGCTATGTTTATGAATGGGTTAAGCCTTCCCCCTAATCCTCTAGTGGCTGTCCCATTGACAGCCACTAGAGGCGCTTGCGTGCTTCTCACTGTGATTTTCACAGTGAGAGCACGCCAGCATCCATAGGAAAGCATTGTAAATGCTTTCCTATGAGACCGGCTGAATGCGCGCGCAGCTCTTGCCGCGCGTGCGCATTCAGCCGGCGGGGCGTAACGGAGGAGGAGAGGAGGCAGAGAGCTCTCCGCCCAGCGCTGGAAAAAGGTAAGTTTTTACCCCTTTTCCCCTTTCCAGAACCGGGCGGGAGGAGGACCCTGAGGGAGAGGCACCCTCAGGGCACTATAGTGCCAGGAAAACGAGTATGTTTTCC